TGATTTAAACATCATTGAAAATTTGTGGGTAGATCTTTAAAGAGCTGTGCATGCAAGACGACCAAAGAATATTACATAACTAGAAGCCTTTTGCAAGGAAGAATGGGAGAAAATCCCAAGTACAAGAACTGAAAGACTTTTAGCTGGCTATAAAAAGCGTTTGCAAGCTGTTATATCTGCCAGAAGAGGTGTTACTAAGTACTGATTATGTAGGGTGCCCAAACCTTTGCAGAGTGCCACAATAATGTTTTTATCTTTTATCTTTGTTCAATTTATGAAATAAAAATTAACTATGCATCAATTTTTGCCAAAAATATTGTGCATTTTTTCTATTTCCTACAGAGACTGTGTTTACATCTTTTCAATAAAAAAATGACCAAAATATGTTATTTATCGAGGGGTGCCCAAACTTTTACAAAAGACTGTATATTGTAGCACTGAAGGTACCGTGGGGCAGAGCGGAATATTTGACTGGCGCCAACCTTGTACATAGTTCTTAGTGATTTCCAGGCATCGTAATGTCTTATGCTGTACTGTAGTGTCATGTGTAATGTTAAATGTTAATAGTGGTACATAGTACTGTGTGTGTGTGTGTGTGCATGTGTATGTGTATACGCGCCCACCGTGTGGGTTGGGAGTAAGTGGGTGATGGGCATGGTGGGCAGTGTGGGTCTGTTGTTAGAGTGACTGGCACAGGTGAAATAAATGCCACCTAGCGGTTGAATCCCATTGCTTCCAGTTGTTTATTACGCTTTCCACACCAGGGCTATACGATAAACTACATTGGTGTCAGAGCTGGGGATGATAATTGAGGAGCTTGAGAGGGAGCAAGAGGAGCTCCAAGAAGCTGACACCATAAGGGGAGCAGCCAGCTTGAGCAGACCTCCAGGAACCAAGTGCTTTGCCTTCCTGGACCAACCTGATGGCCCCAGCACCCCCCACCTGCCCAGGCGACAGTGGTGCAGCACGGGGATACAGCCGGTCGCAGTTAAGATCCTCCACAAGCTGCCCCGCTATGACAGAAAAGGCCCTTTGAAGCCCTACCTGACCCAGGTCCGGCTGGCGGCGCGGCTCAGTGGCCAGTGAACCAGCAAAACTGCGGGTCAACTGGCAATGTCACTGGAGGGGGAGGCACTGAAGGCTCATCTAAGCCTCTCTCCAAAAGAACAGGAGGACTGTGGGACACTAATTACCACACTGGTTTGGCCAGTAACAGTCAGAGGGGAAGATGTGGGAGCAGCTGGACAGCCAGTGATGGTACACCAGTGAAAGGTTGGGGCCATTCGCAGCTGAGCTCGAGAGCTGTACCCGGTGGGGCTACCCTCACTTCCCCTGGGTAGCGCAGGATGAGCGTTAGTCCTCTGGGCACAGTGCCCCGCCCACCACATAGTGAAGCCTGCATTGCGGAGAGTGCAGAGGGAACAGAGCTGGTTGGAGATCTGCATGCTGCTGCTGCTGGTGCAGCTCCTGCGCCTCACCAGAAGCCCCACCGCCGCATGGTTGTTTTCCGCTGTGGAGAGCTGGGACACATTGCCCGCAGCTGGCCTGCATCACCGCCTTCCTGTCGCCCTGAACATCCAGGAAATGTTGGGCGGGTTGCATGTTAAGGGGGGCGTCACCTGCAATGCACACCAGTCTAACCCCTACACAAGGCTAGACACCTCTATGTCGACTGCCTGTTGGATGGAACTCCTTGCCAAGCCCTGGTGGACACGGGATCCACCATCACTCTGATCTGTCTGGGCAAACTGCCAGGCACCAATGGGGCTGCGCCAGCCGGTTAGGAACCCATGGGCATCCAGCTGGTGTCAGTGACTGTCATGTTGTTTTTGCTTCAACTA